AAAAAAAAAAAAAAAAAACAACAGATTTTTGGGCCCAACCTAGACCTATAAAATCAAGATTTCCCAGGAAGACAATAATCTGTACAAAAAGTACCCCCAGGTGAACCTCACCAAAATTGGGGAAACTCTTAACTAAGGGGTAACGTAAGGTTCACATCTGGGAAGAACAACAACTTCGGAACTAGACAACCCTGGATTCATTTCTTGACTCTACCATTTACCTATATGATCTTGGATAAGTTACTTAGCCTCGTTGTGCCTTACCTGTAAAATGAAGATACTACCTCCAGCGTTCTTATAAAGATTAATTTATGTAAAGGGTGTGGGACACAATCTTTCTTTAAGCTTAATTTTATCTTGTTTCCTCTGAAAAAATGAAGGTATCTGGCATATGGACCTCTAGTAAATAGACATCACATACCAAAATTATGCAGATATCTATCCAATTAACAAAGTTGCTGTTGAGGCAACAGCAACTTTGCCTCAACTATCTACTAACCATTAATGTTCTCAAGACTTATACACACACACATATAATTGTCTTAGTCACTAAACTATGAACCATCCTGCCAAAAAGCTTTTAACTAACTCAATTTACTTGGCTTAAGCCTGGCAAGTATCATTCACTTGTTGAAGAATGTTCCCGTTCTACCTCTAAAAATGTCACTTTACACACTTTAACAAAATGAAAAAAAAATGCTACAGTGTTGTCTTATCTACTGTTTTTCCTTAATCCAAATTATGGCATCCCCAAATTACTTTCTCTCAAAAAAATTCCCTAATAACTGTACCTCTGTTATGTTTCTCTCTCGTAATGAAGCCAACTCATATGGATCCACAAAAAGTCCTGTCGGGATGTACTGTTTAATTAAAAGTCGGCAGGTCTGTAAGTCCTCAATGCTTTCTCCAAATTTCACTTTGATTAAAAGGTCTCTGTAAGACAAGTACATTCACAGTAAATCTCTTTCAATTCAATTCTTAAATAAGATAACATAACACTATATTCATATTAGTGGAAACACTATATTTCAAATTCATTTTCCAAAAGTAGATTATAAAGTCAAATGAAATATACTATGTCAGAATCAGCCATTAGATCTTTCAGAATTCATATCATAAGCCACAGTATAGCATTAGTGTGAAAATAGACAAAGATCAGTGGAAAGGAATGAAGTCCAAAAATAGTCACACATATATTTTCAATAAAGGTAGCAACATAATTTAATGGGGAAAGGTTAGTCTTTTCAACAATTGATACTGGAACAACTAGATATTTATATAGACAAAAATAAACATTGATCTCTACCTCATCCCATATACAAAAATTAATTTAAATAGATAATAAACCTAAATGTATCATTGTCCCAGCTTTCCATCTGGAGGCAGATCTGAAACAGTGCAGGGAATAAGATCCAAAGCATAGCACAGTGTTGTTGCTTATGCGAGGAAACAGAGATAGAAGTTTAGGGAGATTGAAGTGTTGTAAGTCACAGCAGTAAATTCCAGAGAGAAACCTGTAGAAAAAGAATTCCAAAAATCCAAATAGGAATCCCTGGAGTTTCTGCTGAATACTAAGATAAGCATGAGTAAGGTGTAACTCCACAAGAGTGGGCAAAAAATGACAAGGGAACTGAAAATTGAAAAATCCCAAAATTTCACATAGGATAGGAAGACATTCAAGTTCCAACCAACCAGAACACACAGACTGAAGCACTCAGCAGAGACCACAATACAGTACAGCCTTAGTATATAAATCAGCCTTAGAGTAAAGGTCACTTTAACATTATTTTTTATTTTATTTAATTATTTATTTATTTATTTTTAGAGATGTTGCGCAGGCTAGAGTGTAGTGGCATGATCATGATCATAGCTTACTGTGCTGTCAAACTCCTGGGCTCCAGGGATCCTCCTGCCTCAGTTTCCCAAAGTGCTGGGACTACAGGCATGAGCCACCACACCTAGCAACTTTAAAACCATACAAGAAAACGTTAATATGATCAAGCTGATAAACAAGTAACTACCAACAGAAAAAAAGTCCGACACTTTTAAAAGAAAGATCACAAAATTCACCCTCAATGATGTTCATATTCAAAATATTCACAATGTTCAGCATCCAATCAAACGTTACTAACCATGCAAAGAAACAGGGAAATGTGACCAATAAACAGGAAAAATATCAGTCAACAGAAAGAGACCTAAAATAACAGAAGTGACAAAAATAACAAAGGACATCGAAACAGTCATTATAAATAAATCCAACATGTTCAAGGATTTCAAGAAAAACTTGAACATTATAAGGCAAAAAGAAGATTTTTTAAAAAAACAAAATGTAACTTCAGGAGATGAAAAATTTATTTCTAAAATAAAAAGTTAACCAGATGTGATTAGAAGCAATTAGATACTAAATAAGAAAAGATCAGTGATTGGAGGCAGAGCAAGAGAAACCATCCAAATTGAAACACAGAGAGGAAAAAAGAATAGGGAGGAAAAAACAGTCTCAGTGATATTTAAACAATATCAAGTGGTCTAGTATATGTATAATTAGAGTACCTGAAAAAGGTGGGAGAATTTAACAGAAAAAAATATGAAGATATAATGCCTGAAATTTTTCTGAATTTCTTGAGAATTATAAGCCCATAAACCCAAGAAGCTCAGCAAACCCCCAGGAAAGATAAACACCAAGAAAATCACGCCATGGCATATTATTATTACACAATCACTAAAAAAAAAAAAAAGAAAATCTTAAAAGTTATCAAAGGAAAAGGACGCATTCTGTAGAGAGTAACAAAGATAAGACTAAGTCATAAGACAATGGAACACCTATTTAAAGTACTAAAAGAAAAGAAGCTGTCAATCTGAATTTTATATTCAGGAGGAAAATCCTTCAAAAATAAAAGCAAAATAAAGCCTAAGATAAACACAAAGAGAATTTATCACTGCAAGAAATAGTAAAAGTTCAGGGAGAAAGAAAATGATACCAGATGGAAACATAAATCTGTAACAAAGATAGAAATAGAAGAGAATCACAGGGCCGGGTATGGTGGCTCACATCTGTGATCCTAGCACTCTGGGAGGCAGAGGAGGGAGGATCACTTGAGGTCAGGAGTTCGAGATTAGCCTTGGCAAGAGCGAGACCCTTGTCTCTACTAAAAATACAAAGAAATTAGTTAGACAACTAAAAATAGAAAAAATTAGCTGGGCATGGTGGCACATGCCTGTAGTCCCAGCTATTCAGGAGGTTGAGGCAGGAGAATCTCTTGAGCCCAGCAGTTTGAGGTTGCTGTGAGCTAGGCTGATGCCACGGCACTCTAGCCAAGGCAACAGAGTGAGACTCTGTCTCAAAAAAAAAAACAAAAAACAAAAAAAACAAAAGAGCATCAGAAATGGCTGGGTACAGTGGCTCATGCCTATAATCCCACCACTTCAGGAAGCCAAGGAAGGAGGACTGCTGGAGCCCAAGAGTTTGAAGTTGCAGTGAGCTATGACTGTGCCACTGCACTCAAGCCTGGGAAACAGAGAGACACCCTGTTGTGGGGGGAAAAATAGGTAAATATGTGGGTGAATACGAAAGACTTTTTTCTCATGTTTTATTTGCTCTAAATATGATTGATAAATTGGAACCCTTGTGCATTGTTGGTGGGAATGTAAACGGTGCAGTCACTATGGAAAACAATATTACAGTTCTTCAAAAAATTAAAATAGAACTACCATATGACACAGCAATTCCAATTCTGGGTATACACCCAAAAGAACTGAAAGCAGGAATTTGAAGAGATATTTGTACACCCATGTTCATAGCAGTATTATTTGTAACAGCCAAAAGGAAAAAGCAACACAAGTGTCCATGAACAAATGAATTTGGATGAGTAAAATATTGTATATACATACAATGGAATATTATTCAGCTTTAAAAAAGAAAGGAAATTCTGACATATGCTACAACATGGACAAACTTTGAGAACACTATGCTACGTCAAACAAGAAAGTCACAAATACTATGTGATTCTACTTACCTGAGGTATCTAGAATAGTCAAATTCATGGAGACAGAAAGTAGAATGGTGGTTGCCAGGGGCGGTGGGGGGAGGAGGGAGGGAGAATGGATAGTTATTGTTTAATAGGTACAGAGTTTCCGGTTTACAAAATGAATAGAGTTCTCTGAATGTACAGTGTTGATGGCAACACAACAATGTGAATGTTCTTAATGTCACCAAAGTATACACTTAAAAAAAAAGTTAAGATGGTGAATTTTATATTATGGGTATTTTATCACAATTAAAATAAATGATGTAAAAAATATGATTGTTTAAAGCAAAACTAATAACAATATATTGTGGGGTTTATAACACAAGTAAAATGGAAAATAAAATGTATGACAACAATAGCATAAAGAAGAGGAGAAGGAAATGAAACTATTCTGATAAAAGATTCATATAGTATTTGTGATGTAGAATATTTGAAGGTACACTGTGATAGGTAACAACTGCACATTGTAAACCCTAAAGCAACCAATTAAAAAAGAGATACAATTAATAAGCCAAAAATGAAGATAAAATGTAATGTTTAAAAAATGCTCAATGTACTTAAAATAAGGCAAGAAAAAAGAGAAAAGACTAGAAGGGACAAATAGAAAAAACATACCAAGATGGATAGATTTAAACCAAACCAATCATATCAATAGTTACATTAAAAATTAATGGTCTAGGCTGGGTATGGTTGCTCACGCCTGTAATCCCAGCACTCTGGGTGGCCGAGGAGGGAGGATTGCTTGAGCTCAGGAGTTCGAGACCAGCCTGAGCAAGAGTGAGACCCTGTCTCTACTAAGAATAGAAAGAAATTAGCCAAAACAACTAAAAATAGAAAAAATTAGCCGGGCATGGTGGC